GGTTATTGATAAATTTAAACAACGCATAAGTAGGGCCAAGAGCCCACAGTACCTAACTTCTCATTTTTTACCTATAGATATTCTGTAGATAAATATTGATTAAATCCGAAAGCTAGAAATCGTGGGAATATATATGGTGTTCTGGTCAATGAAACACGCTTAACTTATGGAACCATTAAGCTTATAAAACGCATAACCCTTAGAAGCATCTGCGTTGTTATATTCCACAGACTTAATGAAGTATCTATTGAATTCACAACTTACACCTGATTACTACAGGGTGTCCCAAAAAATGTATACACATTTTAAGTAATTGTAAACCTAGTGTTTATTATAATTTTGTTATTTCAAAAACAAAACAAAAACAAAGATATTCAAAAGTATCATTTTATTGTTTTCCAACTGCATTTTGACTACTGCAACAGTAGCTGAATTGAGGGAAGCTACCGAACACGAGTGCACCCGAATACCAAGGGGATTGTTTCATGGTATGTGCGATTCCATTGCTTCGCGTTGTCGGCATTGTCATGATCAAAATGGACGTCAGTTTGAGAAAATTCAGGGATGATAACAATAAAACGGTACTTGTTAATAACCTTACATTTATTTAATAATAGAATTATGATAAACACCAAGTTTACAAATAGGTAAAATGTGTATACATTTTTTGGGCCACCCTGTATATTTACCAAATGTATTTTTCTACATCGCGTGCAACATAGATCCTTGGTTAACGGGTTGCGCTTTTCTGCTTTTGTGTCCAAAGTTGCTTTTTTTCTGACCACAAAAATGGGTCGTCGTTCTGTTAATACCACAAAAAGTGGGAAGTATATGAATCCCACTGATCAGGCTCGTAAGGAAGCCAGAAAGAAGGAATTAAAGAAGAACAAAAAACAGCGTATGGCCGTACGCCAGGCCGTTTTGAAAGCGAAGGACGCTACTCAGCTTCTGGAGGAGGCGTCTATGTATGACAAGCAAGGTTTGTTGAAGAACCCTTGAGTCTACCACCTCTTAGAGTACGATCCAAATGTACAGGCTTCGTTAAATGAGAGAGTGCTTCAAGAAAAGCGCAAGCGTGTGCTGGATACTTTTGACAGACTTGTTGTCTTATACGTAATCTCCAATTTCGTTCGTTCAGCGTTCCCATGTAGCGAAAAGATGACCCGGAGTACGCTGCACGCCTTCAAGCCGCCCGAACAGAATATGACAAACGCCGTCACGAGATGATGCTTTTTTACGGTAGGCCACTATCGCTCTACTTACCGATTTTTTTAGAGCAAGTGAAGCTCGCGGAGCGTGTGAAAGCTAGTGAAATTCCGCTGCCAGATCTTCCACCTATGCAGGGTATCACTGCTCCAGATGTTCCCCCGCCCCTGATCAGTACAAAAAGCATCTTGAAGAAGTCTTTCGTGTTCGTGTTTACTTGTTTATCTTACTTGCCTTGCATCTCGACTATTGCATCCAAGTCGTCGTAAACATTTTTCGTGTAACTCTCATCTCAACTTTAAGCTGCTTTTTATTATATTTTGGACAATATTTGCGAGACCGAGACCCATACTGTCGCTTAACTTCTATGGCATATCTTGAAATGAATGCCCTAGTGATTGCGGCGTTATTCCACCAATTATAGCAACTGTTTTCGAGTCCTTGTTGGCCATATTTGTAATTAAGTGCTAGGAATGTTCTAGTCACTTATGCTTTGATCCGTATTATGGTGCTCTCGGTCAGGGATACAATCGATTGTTTGATCCTTCTAGTGGGCTCATTGCCACGATAAGGAATCGTGCGCATCTTATGTTAAATGACAGAAGTCTTTTATTTAAAAAATAATGTGCGGAAGCAGCAGTCATCCGAAAAATGTATACAGGCCAGCTAACTCTAAGTTCTTATAATATTCACCAGTTATCAAGTCTTTTTATGTAGTTATGCCTGTTGAAATATTTGATATACATCTCACATTCATTTGCCCTCTGTTTTTCAAATTGTATTGTACGCCACGCAACTAATACAGACTTAAGCTTGGAACAAATTAAGTCATTTTTCTATAGTGATCTGAATATTGCCCATTTCATACTACAGCTTATACATGCTGAAGTGTTGGAAATTGTCCTAATTGTCCTACTTTATAGCATTTATAACCCTCACAATTAGCAAATTTCTAGTCATTCCTTTAGTACTCCTAATTTTGATTTAGCTTATTTTCGTAATTCATTATGCTTACCCATTCGTTTTGCTGATGGCTTATCTGTTCCTTTTTGCTAGCTTACATTAGATGATGGACCTTTTCAAAATATATCTTTTCTGCCTGAAAAGGTTTCGCTTAGGAATTTTGTACAAAATTGCGTAAGTCGATGCACGCTAATAGTGTTTGCAGGAGCCAAAACGGTAATCCACCAATAAATATGGGAATTTTACGACATTGAAGACTGAAGTCAGAATTGAAATGTTGAATGGAGTAATATTTTTTGTGAACGCAAGATTTTTCATAGATATCCATCAGATGTTTTCTTCTTTTAGACTTCCTGGTCCCCCTCCAGGGCTTCCGCCTGCCGGCCGCAAGCCGCCTGGCCCTCCGCCTCTTCCCGTCCCTGATCTCTCCGACAGCGACTCCGAAGAGCCTGCTGACACGCTTCGTCCACGGAAAATCAGATTTGCTGACGGCGTGAGTAGTTTTTTTCAAAGCTCATCTCGAATTCAAAAACTACTTGTTTCTTATTTGAATCCTCTGAAAGTATGCCAATTTCCACGCAATCTAAACGCACGATATAATTATCATATAGGGCCCTCAGCAACCAATTAAGTATCAGTCAGTTAAATTCTTAAGGCCTTTGATCTTCTTATTGCCTGAGTGTTAAACACGACAAAATGAGCATCATTTTCACTTCAATAGGTGGTTTTGACTTAGTTTCGCACCAATTTTACCTTCCATCGACACAAATGGCAGAATATGATGAAAAACTATTAAAATTAACTATTAAAAGCGGACTGCGGGGAGCCAAAATAAATTTCGGGGTGGTCTTGATAGTTGGGAGGGCAGCTTGTATTAGGAGTAATCTAT